AGTGTGTTCATGAATAGTGGCACGTGACTCCTTGCTAAGGGGTGGATGAGGTTCACACCACCTTTGCTGATGCATGACAAGCAGGATCCTCAGGGTAATTGGGCTCCTTGTTGTTTGCTGTGCAGGAAATAATCATTGGCCCTTTATCAAGCATCTCACATTTCTAATATGAAACTCTGCCCAAAATACATGGGATTAACTTGGGTCTGTCAAAGTTTGAGTAATTGGTGACCTCAGCATTAGATTTTTAAGGGCTACATGACATGAATATGGCTGCTCTGAGTGGCATTTAGAAGTTGGAAGTCAGATAATATGGATGATAACGTGCCTTTTATCTCTAGAGTTAATACTAGTTGATATTATGGTTCTTGTATTGTTTTCATAATTTGAAAACGATACAAAGAACCTGCATTGAAATGTCATGATCTAGAATAAAAGAAGTTGTCATCCAGATATATATACTTGTTCTATCTATATGAATATGGCTGGGTACTGAGGGGAGAACATTTCAAAGAACATTATTAGTGCCCTTCTTGATGAAAGTCCATATTGTCAACCTGATCATGCAATCAAGAACAACGCTTGATAAATTTAGTTATTCAAGCAGACATGTTAATTAATTTTGTTTGCACCATGAAATATTCACATCAAATTTCTCACTTGGCATGCAGGAACCAATGCTGTGTCTGGTAAATCTCGACACATAAGTGGTAAGTCATTGATAACAGGTATCACAACACATCCATTGCCTAGGCATCTAAAACCTGAATATTCTGGAGCTTCACCTTGACTTCAAAGAATGCTGATCCAAATGTTGGCCACTCTAAAGATGATCTTGAGGGAACTCCACCTTGGCATCTTCCTGCAGCATCTCTGTTTTGCCAGCATCTCTTGTCATTGGTCACAAACAGTGGGCTCTAACTGCAGCCACCATCTTAACTACAGAGATGCAGCAGTCACGCATTGTCATAAGCATGGTCACAAACAGTGGGCTCTAACTACAGAGAATGGTGAATAGGGAACCATGGTCACAAACAGTGGGCTCTCTAACCACAGAGATTGGTGAATAGGGAACCATGGTCACAAACAGTGGGCTCTTGGGTGAACCACAGAGAGATTGGTGAATAGGGAACCATGGTCACAAAACAGTGGCACAGTTGGGCTCTAACTCAGAGATTGGTGAACAGAGATTAGTGAATAGGAGACCATGGTCATAATGAACTCTCTATTTCAAAGCAAAGCCACATGAAACCACAGAAACCACTTCTACCCCTTCCAGTCTCAGGTGACTGAGCTTTAAACCATATCTTGTGGTAGGAATTCACTTAATGCCTCCTGCAAAATAGGGTACATATACCAAATGATTGTCTATGTGAAAACACATCCTGTAAACAACACAACAATCTAAGAGTAACCATGAATACTCACACCAACGCTTCTTTGTTCCTTCTTGTTCTCTCCATACTCTGACCCCAGTGATATGAGAGCAATCCAGGATTGTTAAGCCCCTCCCTTGCTTAATTGGTGGTAGTCACAAGAAAGAAGCCTCAAGCAGCCCTACAACACAGAACAGGGCTAGATGCAGGAAACAGGGCTAGATACAGGGACCTGGGGTAGATGCAGAAAACAGGGTTAGAGTCATGGTGATATACAGAGAGAACCAAAAGCAACAAATGATACAGGAGAGCAGGGTTAGTGGCACACTAAACAAAGGAGAGATCTGCTAGATACAGGGCAAATGTACAGGAGAGAGCCTGAGACATGGCAACATACAGGCCAGAGGGCTCAGAGGCACATGACATATATGAGAGAGGGCTAGAGGCATGGCTGACATACTATGAGAGAGGGCTAGAGACACACATGACACAGGAGAGAGGGCTAGAGGCATGGCTGCATTGACACAGGAGAGAGGGCCAGGAGGCACATGGACATACAGAGAGAGGGCTAGGAGGCATGGCTGATACAGGAGAGAGAGTGGGCCTGAGGCATGCATGGCTATACAGGAGAGAGGGGCTTGAGGCACATGACATACAGGAGGGCATTTGAGGCATGGCGATACACAGGAGAGATAGCTTGAGGCATGGCACATACAGAAGAGAGGGCTAGAGGCATGGTGTGATATACAGGAGAGAGAGAGCTTGAGGCATGGCTGACATACAGGAGAGATAGCTTGAGGCGTAACAATATACAGAGAGAGGGCTAGAGGCAAGGCCAAAAACAGGAGAGAGGGCTTGAGGCACATGCTACATTCAGGAGAGAGGGCTTGAGGCATGGTGATATACAGGAGAGAGGGCTCTGAGGCATGACATACAGGAGAGATAGCTTGAGGCATGGCAATATACAGAAGAGAGGGCTAGAGGCATGGCGATATACAGGAGAGAGAGCTTGAGGCATGGCGATATACAGGAGAGAGGGCTTGAGGCATGGATGAGAGAGAAAAAATACAGGAGAGATAGCTTGAGGCATGGCAATATACAGAAGAGAGGGCTAGGAGGCATGGCTGGCTATATACAGGAGAGAGAGGCTTGAGGCATGAAGGAGATACAGGATGGAGATATGGTAGCTTGAGGCTGGAGGCATAACATATACAGAGGGGGCTATAGGCAAGGCCAAAAAAGGAAACAGGGAGAGAGCTTGGAGGCATGGCGATATATACAGGAGAGGGCTTGAGGCATGGGTAACATACAGGAGAGGGGCTAGGAGGCATGGCTGGGGACATACAGGTGGATATGGAGAGGGCTAGGAAGACATGGTAGATATACAGGAGAGAGGAGCTGGAGGCATGGATGACATACAGGAGAGGAGGGAACTTGAGGCATGGCTGGAGGAACTACAGGAGAGAGGCTGGAGACACTGATGCACGATACACAGGAGACTTGAGGCAATGGCTACAGAGGAATCAGAGACACAGGAGGCATGGCACACAGGAGGAGGAGAGGACTGGAGGCATGGAGACACAGGAGAGAGTGCAGGAGACATACAGGAGAGAGGGCTAGGAGGCATGGACACAGGAGAGAGACACACAGAGAGAGACATGGTGACATGACAGGAGAGATAGCTTGAGGCATGGCAATATACAGGAGAGAGGGCTAGAGACATGGTGGACATACAGGAGAGACGGGCTTGAGACATGGCTATACAGGAGAGAGAGGGCTTGGAGGCATGGCGACATACAGGAGAGAGGGCTGAGAGCATGGCGAGACACACAGGAGAGAGGAGGCTTGAGGAGGACATGACGATACAGCAGGGAGAGAGGCTAGAGACATGGCAGGAGACACAGGAGAGAGGGCTAGAGACATGACATATACAGGAGAGAGGACTAGAGGCATGGCCACAGAGACACACGACAGTTTGAGAGGTGACAGGACAGAGAGACTACAGAGACACACAGGAGAGATACACTGAGACAGACAGATACACAGGAGAGACAGCATGAGGGAGACACACACAGATACACAGGAGAGAGGGGACACAGAGGCATGGTGATATACAGGAGAGAGGGCTTTATGGAGACATGGACAGATATACAGGAGAGGGGCATTATGAGGCACGGCAATATACAGGAGAGAGGCTTGAGGAGACATGGGAGACATGGCACAGGAGAGAGGGCATGGCTAAGGCATGGACACAGAGAGAGGAAAATAGGAGAAGGAATATAGGCAGAGAGAATGGAGGTAGGAAGACATGGCAGGAGAGAGGGTGAGACATGGTGGATATACAGGAGAAAAGAGAGAAAATAGAGACATGAAGGGATAATACAGGAGAGAGGGAGGGGTAGAGACATGGAGGAGGGAGACATGGAGAGGAGGTATGGGAGAGAGGGGATGAGGTACAGAGAGAGGGTATGGTGATAGGAGGGAGACAGGAGGGCAGGAGAGAGATGGTGATATACAGGAGTGAGAAGATATATGGAAGGAGGTGGATAAACAGGCTAGAGACATGTATGGTGACATATACAGGTGGACAGGCAGGGAGAGAGACATGGTGGGTGGCATATGGCAGGGAGTGTGACATGGTGGAGGAGGGGTATGGTGGAGGGAGAGGGGAGATTGAGGCATGGCGAAAATGGAGAGAGGGCTAGAGGCATGGCGATATACAGGAGTGAGGGCTAGAGACATGGTGATATACAGGAGAGAGGGCTTGAGGCATGGCGATATACAGGAGAGAGGGCTAGAGACATGGCGATATACAGGAGAGAGGGCTAGAGACATGGCGATATACAGGAGAGAGGGCTAGAGAGGTGCTAGGAGGAGGGCATGGCATGGTGATAAACAGGAGAGGGGCTAGAGACATGGCTATATATTATGGAGAGAGGGCTAGAGACATGTCGATATACAGGAGAGAGGGCTAGAGACATGGTGATATACAGGAGTGAGGGCTAGAGACATGGTGATATACAGGAGTGAGGGCTAGAGGCATGGTGATATACAGGAGTGAGGGCTAGAGACATGGTGATAAACAGGAGAGAGGGAAACACAGAAAACAGGGCTAGATACATGGCTAAACACAGAAAACAGGGCTAGATACATGGCTAAACACAGAAAACAGGGCTAGATACACGGCTAAACACAGAAAACAGGGCTAGATACATGGCTAAACACAGAAAACAGGGCTAGATACATGGCTAAACACAGAAAACAGGGCTAGATACATAGCTTAACACAGAAAACAGGGCTAGATACATGGCTTAACACAGAAAACAGGGCTAGATAAATGGCTAAACACAGAAAACAGGGCTAGATACAGGGCTAGATACATGGCTAAAGACGGATAACAGGGCTAGATACATGGCTAAACACAGAAAACAGGGCTAGATACATGGCTAAACACAGAAAACAGGACTAGATACATGGCTAAATACTGGAAACTGGGAGAAATACAGAAAGGAGGGCGAGATGCAAAGTTGTCCAAGAAAACAGGGCTCTATATACATGACTACATACAGCATGCAGGGCTAAATACAGGAATCAGTCCCACTGACGAGTAGGGACCACAAATGTCGTAAGGACATCTTTTCATCCTACCTGGTGGTAGTGGAAGATCAAGTCAGCGTTGATGTCTTTGCCGGGCACTGTGTTGGTCCACAGCTTCTTCATAAAGAACACCTGGTATGTAAACTGTGGGACAGCACCTGTAGCAGGCAACAACTGGGCAACTCAGGCTTCTCTCCTTGGGTATATACTCACAGGAGCTCTCACACACTAAACACTAACATCTGTCTAAACAAGCTGGATTACTCTAACATTATGTGTGTAACGCATTACTTCTGTGCAACACAATCAGAAACCACAAAAACATAAGAATAACAACATACTTTACCAAACATTGTAACAGAAAAATAGATGTTCATTTCAGACAGGCAATCTTATTTATTAAACATTCATTTTTTTGGAAGAAAATGTTTATTGCTATTGTTTGGATATTTTTAGCAGTTTTGTTTGAATGAATATTCTAACAAAGTTGGTAATGTACTACTTTTGCCAGTTAGAATGCCCAACCGTAATCACCCTCATCACTTGTGGTGAGGTGAAGTTGACACTCAGGATGGAGTGAGTTTATTGTAATGAGACAAAACAGCAACTTAGTGCTGTCATTACAGGCCTTCCCATGGTGTCTTAAGGCAGGGAGTGCTTGTTTACTTCCAGTCTTATGAGTGAGTGAGTATGGTTCTATGCCACTTTTAGCAATATTCCAGCAACATCAAGGCAGGGGACACCCGAAATGGGCTTCACACATTGTACCCATGTGGCGAATCGGACACAGGTCTTCGGCGTGACAAGCGAACGCTTTAACCAGTAGGCTAAACCACCGCCCCTCAGTCTTATGAGCATAACTTACATCAACTATCAAGTCAGAGAATACATATAAACAACAGGTGATGTTTCCTTTCCCTAAGTTCCTTACCAAACATCAAACTTTAAATAAAGATACTTGACACCTTAGTTCAAGTTGGTTTTAATATTGCCAGAATAAGGAATGCAGGACATATATCAGACACTTAACTGAGTGAGTGAGTTTAGTTTAGTTTTATGCGTCACTGAGCAATCTTCCAGCTATATGGCGGCGGTTTGTAAATTATCAAGTCTGGACCCAACAATTCAGCGATCAATAGCATGAGCATCGATCTACACAACTGGGATACAATGACATGTGTCAACCAAGTCAGCGAGCCTGATCACCTGATCCTGTTAGTCGCCTCTTACGACAAGAATGGGTTACTGAAGATCAATTCTTTCCCGGATCTTCACAAGTCCACAGTTAACTGAAATATCCCCGAATGTTAATGTGTGGTCAATAACAAGCTGGTATATCCTGGAGCCTGATGGTCAGTGAGGAGCAGGACCTACTCACCATCCCTGGATGGCCGTGCCTTTCTGATCCAGTCAGTCAGATGACGCACAAAGTCAAAGAAGAAATCTCCCTCAGGAACACTAATAACTGCAATGTTGAATTGTAAATATGAACATTTATCACACAAATGGAATTTTTCCAGTAAAATTAATATTTTTATACTTATCCTGACTCATGATTTTTTGCTTATCTCCCTTTCCCTTGCGAATGGTAGTGGAACACTTGAATCCCTTGGAGTTTCCGAAGCGGACGTAAAAATACACTCACCCACGAGTTACCTCCCTTTTCCCACGTAAACAGTCATGTGACCAGCCTTACTTGTCACTCTCTCCTGATTTTACTGCCCAAGCACTTGGATCTACTGTGCAATCCGAAGTGTTTCCAGTGGGGAGGTCGGGAAGGCTTGACCTCATGAGTCAGGATAAGTATAAAAATATCAATTTTACTTGAAAAATGACATATTTTTACTTATCCTGACTCATGATCTTTTGCTTATAGAATCCGACGGATTGGTGGTGGGTCAGGCCACTTCCTGGATTCATCAGCTGTCCTTTAGATACGTCATGGATCTTAGTCCTAGATGACTTCGACCAAAGTCCAGCCTATGTATCTCTGATATCCGAGCTGCCGTGGCTAGCGCAAGCAGGAACAGAGTCTTCTGTGTCAGCAGCTCGAGTGTAGTCTGGTCTAGAGGTTGGTAGACATCACTGGTAAGAAGACACAGAATTACATTCAGATCCCAGGCTGGAGCTCTGAACTTCTTTTGCTGGTCTTCCAGTTTAAAAGATCTCAGCAGAGCAAGTAATTCTGGTACTTTCGTCAACTTGATGCCTGTTTTCATGGCAATCACTGTACTGATGGCAGCGAGGTATGTAGATAATGTCGAACCTTTCAGATGTCTAGTCTGTCTAAGATGACACAGGTATTCCGCCACTTGAGGATGAGTAGCTTTCATAGCAATGAAGTCTTTCCGCCTTGCATAAGTCTCAAACTTCAGCCACTTGTCATCTCACAGGTTACAAGTAGATCTGCGTAACGCTAGCGTTACTGCCTTGGCTACCCTGGCGGAGTATCCTCTTTTCTTATAACATGTTTCAATATCGTCCACACGTGTAGCTGGAACAGTGTTGGGTTCCCATGGACTTGCTTGGTGTGCGGATGTATGAGTAGGTTCGGCCAATCTGGTAACTTGATTGTTGGACTTCCGAGATCTTCTATTAGGTCTAGGAACCATACTCCTGCTGGCCAGTATGGCGCGACCAAGGTCAGTTGTAGCGCCTGTGTCTGTTTGATCTTCAACAGTACTTTCGGTAGTAAGATCAGTGGTGGAAACGCATGAGCGTTTAGTCCTTCCCATGATATGTTCAGTGCGTCTGTTGCCCAGGCTTGAGGATCTGGAACTGGTGATACAAACGTCTCTAGTTGTTTGTTGAACCTCGTGGCAAACAGGTCTATGCATGGGATCCTATTTCCCTTATGATGAGCCGAAATGCTTCTGGATGGAGCATCCATTCCATAGGTGACGGGTGCAGTGGTCGGGAGAGAGCGTCGGCAAGCACGTTCTTGGCTCCGGGTATGTGACACGCCTTTATCAAGATGTTTGCCTCCTCCGTGATGTCAAACAACTGGAATGTGAGCTGTAGTAAGCTTGGTGATCTTGTAGATACTTGCCGATATATGGAGAATGCCACTGTAAAGCTGTCCGTGTAGACCATCAGCATTCTGTTGATCAGCGAGCTCGACCATAGTTGTGAGGCGTTGATCACAGCTTTCATCTCCAGCAGATTGATGTGAAAATGCTGCTCTGTTTTGGACCACTTCCTTGATGCAACTTGATTGTTGAGATGTGCACCCCCAACCTTGTATCGAAGCGTCTATGTAGAGATGTGTGTCAAAGGCCAGTTCTTGTAAGTAGGTCCCTCCGCAGACATTTGACCTGTGGGTCCACCAAAGTAGGTACCTCTTAAGAGTGTCTGGCAGCAAGATAGGGTCGACGCTGTCCAGATGTTTTGTCAGGAACCATAGCAGCGGCCTTAGTAGTAACCTTCCTGTGCGAGTCAAGTCCTGCGCCGAGGTTAGTAGACCGAGTAGACATTGCCATGTTTGTAGTGTTAACGGAGAGATGACTGCTTGTGAAATCATGGCTTGTATCTTGACCCAATGTTGTGATAATTCTTATTCCCAGCAATTGAAGATCTTGTTTGATTCTTACTCCAACTTCATCAGCTTCACTAGCCATCCTAGTTGCATGAGCAAATTAATTGTCAAGTTCAGCTGCTGTCTGAGTTGATTGGCACTTTGAAGAACCTGTATGCCGTCATCCAAATAACCGGCACTGCATAGACCTCGATGCTGCATATAGGTGCCAATAGGCTTGGTTATTCGTATGAATAATCATAGCGCCGACGATATTCCAAACGGTAGGACGTTCCATTGGAAGTGCTAAACTCTGATTGCAGTGATGATACATCATTCTTCCCCTTATATACGCAGGCGATCTGTGTTGGTCAGCATACATCGAAGCGCTGTCTATTTATAGCAAGGCTGGCTCCAGTGTAGCATCGCAGGGGACAGGTACTCATACCGACTTTTATCAGAGACAACTTCCAAAATAAACATCGTTTATCCTGCTGTCAAGGCTCGACATCTATAAGATTCCCATGATGACAACAGGCCGTAGTTGAATGCCTTTCCAAGGCTGCCGATGAAGTATTCCCCCGTACCACGGGTTTGTTTACAAATCAGAAAACATGCTGGAGCCTGCCCTGTCAGTAGGAGGCGTTGTCTAACATGGACCAATCAGCTTCCAAGCATGACGTCACCGGTGTTGTAGCAAGTTGGCCTCCATAAAATCTGATGCAATTAGTTGGTTGAGTAAAAGCGCGCGTAATTCTACGCCGCTCATATAAATCTCTTGAATACCGTATATGACCGACTATAAGTCGGATCCGACTATAAGTCGGGCCCCTTTCTCAACCCTCTAAATTCTTGCCAAAACCATGTAACTCAAGTATAAGTCGGACCCTTTCCCTGTACGAATCGGTATCGCCGCCTCAATCTTCACGCTCGGACACGATGTTTAATGCGAAAATATATGCATGAATCATTTTTGTCACAGGTCATAACCTAGCACGGTACGTCAAATAAATCCCATAATTTATGTATAGGTAGCGATTTCTTGCTTAATATGTTCAGAATAGCATTATTTTACCCAAAACTTTCGTCTACATCCAAAGTTTTCGTTTACGAGGAAGGTATCCATTGCCGTAATATGATTGGCTGCCTTAGGTCACGTGTCTGGTTTTGACCAATCACGACCCTTATAGCAGACTGTGGCGAAAAAGCGTCATTAGAAACCAATTTTTATCCAATAAAATTGCTTCTTACAAGTGTGAAAAATACTCTCGGCAAGGGTACAGTGATATTGTTGATGTTCAGAGCCTTCGAACGATGCCCGACATCAAACGATTCGCCTCGCATGTTATTCATATGAAGCTTCGAAAACGGAGGTATTTTTCGCTGTTGTGTCATGTTACCGAGCGAAAAGCCACTGATATCGGGAAATAGGCGACCATACATATTTTTTAAGAAATCTTTTTATAATAATTTTCTGATCACGTGAAATGAAAATATAAAAGAAGAGGTTACGGGCATTTTATGACATGTCACAAATGGAAAAAAATCGCTATAGTTTTTGCTTCTTTTTATCTGGATATAAATGTAAACTTGCATTTTCATCATTAACAGTATTTTTCAAAACCACCACACAAAACTGCCACAGAATAAAAATAAGTTGACTTTACGGGAAAAAAGTCGTGTCACGTGGCCCAACTTTATCGCGCGATAACAAAGTATCGGTAAGTGCATAGCTGTGATAAAAATATCTGATTAAATATGTAATTTTTTGAGTAAAATTGATATTTTATACTTATCCTGACTCATGCTCTTTTGCTTGTCTCCTTCCTCTTGCGAACATAGTGGAACACTTGTATCTCCCTAATTGAAGTTCCCTTCAATGTAAAATCACTAATTAGTACACCACGAGTTACCTCCCTTCCACAAGCGCGGGAACGAGGGCGCCACCTCTACCCATGTGCCTCACTCTCTCCTCATATACTGAGCCCAACATTTGAATTTACAGGGAAATCCAAAGTGTTATTTGGGGAGGATGGGAGGGCTGACCTCATGAGTCAGGATAAGTATAAAATATCAATTTTACTCAAAAATTACATATTTTCCTTATCCTGACTCATGCTCTTTTGCTTGTAGAATCCAACAGAGCGAGGTGGGAATATATAATACTTTTGGATTTTAATAATTAGTGATTTGAACTGTGATGATTGTAATAACCCTATGAGAACTTCATAAAGGCATTGAACTGATGAATTCCTGCTGCCAGCTTATCAGCTGCCATATAGAGGTTATTACAATGTACTTATTATGATAAGTATATATAATATTAATACAATGCTTAAGACTAATAGACTTAAGCTTGTTAATATGCTAGTATAAACTCCTTAGAGTTTGTTAGCTAAAATACTTTTAAGATATAAACATAGCACTAAGCTTAAAATATGATTAATTTTAAGCTAATTATATAATAACAAACCTCTTTAGGGTTTGTTAGTTAAAATATTTATATGATATAGACAGTGCTGAGCTTAAGATATGAATAAGCTTAGCTATATATATAACAGCAAACTTTGTAGAGTTTGTTAGCTTATACATTTTTACAATATGATATAGTATTGTGCTTAAGATATAATTATCTTAAGCTACATATATAATAGCCAAACTTAGTAGAGTTTGTTAGCTAATATATTTTTTTACAATATGAGTATAATACTGTGCTTAAGATATAATTAACTTAAGCTACATATATAATAGCCAAACTTAGTATAGTTTGTTAGCTAATATATTTTACAATATGAGTATAATTGTACTGTGCTTAAGATATAATTAACTTAAGCTACATATATAATAGCCAAACTTAGTAAAGTTTGTTAGCTAATATATTTTTACAATATGAGTATAGTACTGTGCTTAAGATATAATTAACTTAAGCTACATATATAATAAGCCAAACT